CATAAGCCACAAGCTCACCACATCGATAACACACATCTCTCCTCATTAAACACACAAAGAAGGACGCACAAACACACAACAATTATCCCATTAAAAGTATCACAATCTGATGAACACTGATAGCCTTTATCCCTCTCCACATTCTCACAATGGCTTATCATAACACGCCCACAGAGGCTAGACCAGCACAGTTCAGGAGTTTAGAGTTGTTCAAAGAGTGAGTAATCCTGCGTTGTTTTCTGAACACTCTGCAGAGGTTACAGTAACAAACCATGCAGCGTAATTGTTCTACAGAGTAAATGAAAACATAATACAAGATGTAAGACAAAGGCAGGATATGTGATCTGTGATAAACTTAATGTTTGTGTTTAAACTTAATATAATGCATTCATCAATCATAATGTTTCTTACGGACAGTGCTACATACACTGTTGAATACTGAGAACATTTCAAAATGCATTTGTAAAATCAAATTTCAAACTCAGTCTGTTTTTCCAATTAAAACAATGAGCATCCATTATATAAACAGAGGCCAGGGGCGCGGGTGAGAAATGACACAATCACACCTCTACATGACAGCAGGTCCTTGATTACAGTCACTCATTGTTGCATTAGACGTGAATTCAGTTCTTGAATCATTTGGAGTGCTCTCAGCAGTGAAATGTACTAGAGCTTGTCTTTGAGAATATCATCTGTAACTGGGTTGTAAAAGTCAATGTGGCAACCTTTCCAGTGTGATGAGTACATTATTGGTTCATGGACAGACAGAGAAATCAGGTGGAAATCAAAAACAATCTCACAATCATGTACATAGAGCAGCACTTAAAAATATGTAATAAGTGATGCAAAAGTAAATAATGAGGACAGACTCTAATTATATGCTTACAATGCAGTGTCATTTAAAAAAAGAACTTTAAAGTGCCAGAAATAAGAAACTATTAGTGTCCAATGGGTAGATTTCACTTACAATATAATTTTGTAGTAAAACATGGTTTATTTCAGTTACAATACATTCACTCAATTTCATATGGGTCAGTGGGATATTTCCACACAATTAACACTCCCTCTCATGTGTAATTGGATCATCCTTTCTGCTTGTGTGACCTGTGAAGAGCATACTGTGCCCTTATGTAAAAACCATTAGCATTATCGTACCTCAAACCACTGGCCGTGTGACTGCATCTTTAGCACTACACAGGGGTCCGGTTTGGAGAGGGCATCGCGGTCCGAGATTCCCCGGCATGCCACTCTGAGCTCGACTTTGGTCAGACACGGTGAGCTGATGAAGCCCAGCGTGGCCTCTGCCGACTCGTAGATGTTGCTCATGCTGAACACACAATCACAAGTGAAAGAACGAAAGACAGAAAACACAGGGTTATATATAGGTTGTGCTGCTGGATCATGTACCTTGCAATGCCCAGGTAAAAGCAGAGAGCACTGCAGTGGCTTGCACAGACTTGGGCAGATGCAGTGGCCCTGACTAAGCAGACAGCACTCCAAGGTCAGGTCTCTGGAGCCAGGGAATATCATAGATGGTCCTCACACACGCATACATACATAGCAACAATACTGTATGCTCTAATAAGGGCACAAATATGGATTTTAGGATTAACGAGTGAATTCATAATCTGCACACGCATGCATGTTTATAGACAAGAAACAAACAGGCGTATACACAGAGGCCAAGTGTACTGTGCTGAGTAATGAACAAATCAGAATCTTTCTGCTCAGGTTTCCACAGAACAGATTGTTTTACAAAACGGTCACAAAAAGCAAGAGACTGTTCAAAAGAAACCCTATCTACTTATGCAAGTTGCCACAATTATATTTATAGTCCCTGTAACTCATCACATCACACTGGCATTACTTATGGACAAAGAGCTAGTAAAATATGTAAATGTCGCTGTCATCTCCCCACAAAGGTGCATTATAATGAATTTTTATTAATTAATTGCATCAGAGAATGTCGCGCGCTTTTTTGAAGTTGCTAGAACGTTGTTGTTGATATTACCAAGCACAGCTTCGAAGCTTGGCCTCTGACCTCTGAGCGATCCCTGAATACCATAAACTGCCATAGATCAAAAATACATCTGTACAGATGCTATTATTAGTAACTTGTAACAAAGACCAGATTGCAGTATTTATCTTTATCATTGCATTAATGACTGCTAATTTGTTTAGAGAGATACTGTCAAGCTAAAAAAAAAAAAAAAAGAGATGAAACATATGAATGTAATAATAGTAATGAGATAAATGTATAAGATTTTATTCATTTACTGTAATACAATGTTATAACAATTAGTTGGGAATCCTCAGGTCCACTAAGTTCAAACTAATGGATAACCACAGGTCTGATGTGCTGGTTGGTACAAACTGAATATTAATGCAGCGGTCTAGTAGTATCATCCTTAGGGAACGGAGCTCTTAGAACTGGGTCTGACTCTGACCTGAATGTCTCTCTCTCTCCTCTTTCTTCCATAATTCATGCCCAATGTGTGTGTGTGTGTGTGTTGCCTCACGGTGATTATTTTTAGAGAAGTACCCTGAATGATTGTATAGCCGACTAGTGAACACAGAGCAGGTGTGTAACATACAACAAGCCTGTTTGGAGGTGTAGAGACTCCCGATGCCCTGTGCCTATGTATGACTGCGTGTATGTGCAGACAGCCGCAGATGCCTGTCTGTTCCGGTTGACAGCAAATGACAGTGATAGTGACGGGGGCTATGGAAGATATCTATCGCTTGAACAACTGTATGAGAGCTGGGTGCAGAATCCCTCTTTATAATGCAATTTAAGATCAGCTGTCACATGGGTTGCACTGTGTTAATGATGAAATTTCAGATTACACCTTGTCACAAGGTGTTGCAATGCCTTATTTTCTAGATCAATTTAGATCAAACAGGCAACATCTTCATTAAAATTTATTTAAGTATGCATAACAAAAGTAGTAATATGTTATAATGATGTGAGTTGCAATTATTAAATGCCCCAGGCCTTGTGTTGCAGTGTTTTACCAAGGTTTGCAGTTTCAAAGGTACCATTGTGCTGACATACCAATTACCAATTATGTTGCTGTGCCAAAAGTAAAGTATATGTTTGTGATTTTTTCAACTACCATGGCAATTGCTTGTAACACTTGACAGCTCTTTTTTAATATCGCATATGTAAGACCAGTGTTACCATCAAACATAAAGTCAGTTTATATCCATTTGGATATGATGGATATGCAAGTTTGCATTAAACACTTAAGGATGATGCAGACGGCAATGTTAGGAGAACAATGTTAGAACAAACAACTGAACAACAGGCTGATTCCTTTTACACTAAATAGACAGTTTGCTCTGAAATTGTTGTGTAAATTTAAATAATGTACTAGTCTCAGGTCAGATATGTGTAGCCCACTTCAAGTTTGTGTATAAAAACAAGGAACAAATCACCCCTCAAAGTGCAAATCCATAGTATGAGTGTATCATGCATTTCCCCCTACATTTGGAGATGCAAATTGACACAGGAAGGTGTGACATAAATGACATCCACAGGAAAGACCAGTACCCCCGTAATTGCCTTTCACATATTGATTATCAAACAAACAGTAAAGGAGGCAGCTACGTTTCATGGCAGAGTACACACAACACCAAACAAGATAGTAATAATGACAGTGGCGTGGAGCTAAATGGGTGGACACAGAAAGGCAGTTCGGTTGGAGGAAGAGACAGAAGGAAATCAGATGTGAAGCAGTCTGATTATTATAGAAAGGAATTAAGGGCAAAGGATGTGAGAGATGGTGTTGGAGAAAAAGGTGAGTGAAAAGGTATGAATATGTGAAACAATCACACATGGCCTGTTATTTAAAAACTCCTACCCATTTGTTTTCATTACAGTTTTCTATTGTATTTCTCCTTACATAGTTTAGCACTGTTTAGGACCAATCAACTTGCACGAGCCTATAGCATATTTATCCCCTTGTATTAGATTTGCCCTTAACAACCCCAGATAAAATGTAAAGCTTCTGAATTGGCAAAATATTGCAATACCATAGTCAGTTAAGATCCTGATAAAAGCTTTGGAGGCTCCTTAACCCTTAGGGAAAAAACTTACCTAAACGACCTGAAGACAAGCAGCGCAAAGAACTTCACCGCCGGTATAGGCTACTTGAAAATCACGGATACCTTACCGCCTCCGGACCCATCTCTCTTCCCTCACTCTCTTTGTCTAAATGTTTTTCTAATATACAACACTGCAGATGGCAGCTTGCTTGCGCTGTCTCCAGCTGGATCTAGTTCCTACGATCAGGATGAGCTCCGTGCGCTTGGCTACTCTGGATAAAAGATGGGGAGGAGGAAGACGGTGCACCACTTAACAGGAGTTTGTAATCCTCTCGCTCCATCGGGGGCCGCAGAGAGCGCACCGTGCCGAGGGACCAGTGGCCAGTCCGCACAGTGTGTCAGCGCCATCTTGTGTTCGCGCCTGTGAACAGAGCTCAGAGTTATTTACCAGTTTCTCGATTTTGATTGGTCAAGATACGCTTCAGTTGTTTTATAATAAGCGCTGACCGCACACCTGAGACCACACAGTAGTTAATTTAAAGTTCACGCTGTGCCAATCAGAGTCAACCACATTCACCAGAGACAATTCGTACCACAAACGAGCCAATTTGCGTAGACTTCATTTACCTGTTTAACACTAAACTTTGCACACCACATTAGACAGGTTATATAGATCAGCTGAATGGAAGAAATTGGAAATAATTGAGGGGACTATACAGTTAATTAGGTAGAGAACTAACTAGCTGATTAAACAATTTAGTCCCATATAGGCCTATCTTCATCAATTATCAGACAATTAAAGCTGTATTGTTATCACTAAATGTTTCTTGTGATACATTACAATACAAAAATGGTTAAGTGCGTTTGATCAGATTTGGTCAGATTAAATGAATAAACAGTTGTTGTACTACTTAGCTGAGCATGAACTTGAAGTAGACATACTGCACATTCGTGTGTGCAATGAACGGATGGACCCCGTGGACCACGCCCCGGTCCCATGGACCGAGCACAGGCACAGAGTTAGCACGAGTTTAGCGCAGCGCTGCTACATCCGGGCGCCCGCTCAGTTTACCAACCCTGCGAAGATGGCGACTTCAGGGAGGAGTGCATTATTATCCTCCTCATCCACTGGACCTAAGACTACATTGGAAAACTCCAACCCAGAAGAGGATGATGGGCAAAATTTATGGTGAGTGTGGGAATACCTAAAATTGGATCTTGTAATCTGAGTTAACGGAGATGGAGTGGCCATTGTTACAAAGATGATGCTGGTTTGACAGCTAGCCTGCTAATAAGGCTAGCTAGCATCAGGACCAGACTGGCCAGTAGACACAGCAGCACTAGCTTGTATTAGCCTCTTGTTGTCAGTCCTTATTTTTTTGTGTATAAAACAGGGTAATTAGGGATTAAATTTAACATGCAGTTTGTGTTTTAGGTCCACTATCTTGAGTGAAGTGTCAACCCATTCAAGATCTAAACTACCGGCTGGCAAAAATGTCCTGGTCATGGGTGGGTATCTGTGTTGTGTCTGCATGCACTAGCTAACCAGTGGACATCGTTAGCTTGAACAGTCAAGAATCTGCAGCATCTTTAGTCTGAGGACTTGCAGTGGAGCTTGGCTTAATGATGCGCTATATTGTCACGTGTTTATTTGCCTCTTCATAAGAATAGGCAATTAATGTTATGATGCACTGGGTGTTACTTTAAGACTTAGACACGTTGCACCTTACGATATAATGCAGTGCAAGTCATTCTAGCTTTGAGGGATGCTAGCAGCAGCGACAGAAGGATGCTGATGTCGACTCATCGGGGGTGTGAACGGGCACAAGCTCTTTATAATGCAGAGAGGTGCCCCCTGTGTCGCTTCGCCCAGAAAAAAACACGCATTGTCTATACATCCTGTTCATTTACATGGCAAACCGTGGTTATTGTACCAGTTGAGTTGTATTGGACACGCAACATCCACTCAGCTTTGTTTTTAATACGATGAGTCCCCCTGTCGGCATAGTCTATTATGGCATACATACACAAAGTACATCAGCAAATCAAACTCACATGTACTACATATAACAGGATATGACAACTTTATTAAATAATAATGTAGGGTTATGTTACACTTTGTATAAGAACACAGTGAGTGAGTATGCAAATATATACATTTAGACCTTTAACTCACATTGTTATGTTTTGCTTTTGTATTGATCATTAATGAAATACACTGTGATGTTCAAGGCAAGGAATTAAAATGTTTTTTTTTGTTTTTTTTTTAGGTGAGGTGGGCTCAGGGAAAACCACCTTAGTTGCCAAGCTGCAAGGAGTTGAAGAGTATATGAAGGGGCGTGGGCTTGAATACCTCTACTTCAGTGTCCATGATGATGACATTGATGGTAACATACACAATTATATTTTTATGCTGTTGAGACACCTGAACATGTTATAATTTTTATTGTTTGTGTCCACAGACCATACAAGATGTAACGCTTGGGTTTTAGATGGAGACCTCTATCACAAAGGTCTGCAGGGTGTAGCAATACCTGTGGATGCGCTTAGTGACACACTGCTGCTGATAACAGTTGACATGTCACGGCCGTGGAATGCTTTGGACTCTTTGCAGAAATGGGCGGCCGTTGCAAGGGAACACATTGACAAACTACGGGTCCCCCCAGAAACACTAAGAGAACTAGAACACAAAAGTGGGTAAACTAACTTATAAGAATGTGCTGTGTGCACATTAATACCTTTCACAACTATCTTTATTATAGCCAGTAGTACATTTTACAAAATGGTTTTGTTTCCTATTATAGTTGTTAAGCAGTTTCAGGAATACACAGAACCAGGCAGTGGAGAGGATGGTACACCACAAAGAAGGAATGAAGATGAAGAAAGTGTTTTTCTACCCTTGGGGGACAACACACTTACACATAACCTTGGAATACCAGTAGTGGTGGTCTGCACCAAGGTGTGTTTTATACCAGTACATGCATTTTGTTAGTTTGGATTATTGTTTAGGAAGCTATGCTATACTTTAAGATAAGAAATACAAATGCTGTTTGCAGTCACAAATCAACTCTCTCTGACTATGTCTTGTCCTTCCCCAGTGTGATGCCATCAGCACATTGGAGAAAGAGCACGACTACAGAGACGAGCACCTTGATTTTATTCAGTCCCATGTCAGACACTTCTGTCTACAGTGTATCCTTCACTGGAAATGCTTTTCTGTTAAATGTGTTTAACAATACAAAACTTAATTTTTAAAATGTATTTCTATTCCCTCTATTTTTATTCACTATGATTTTTTAATGCTAGTATAAATTGAGTAGATAAATGTTTTTTCTTAAGTGCTATGAAGTGGTTGGCTATACTTTCTTTGACTCCTTATCAGATGGAGCATCTCTTGTCTACACATCAGTAAAAGAGATGAAGAATCTGGATGTGCTTTATAAATACTTGGTTCACCGACTATATGGCTTTCCCTTCCACTGTCCTGCTCAGGTGGTGGAAAGAGATGCTGTTTTCATGTAAGTCTAAGCACCCTGATAGCTTCTGAGTGAATTGTGCTGATGAGTCTAATTATTCTTCTCCACCACTAGTCCTTCAGGTTGGGACAACGAGAAGAAGATTGCAATCCTTCATGAAAATTTTCAGACAGTAAAAGCAGATGATGGCTTTGAAGATGTAATAGTTAAGCCTCCCGTCAGAAAGGTATTGCACAGTAATATCCTTCTTATATAAAGTATGTGCTACACCTTGTTAAGTCATTAAATCTAATATGGCACTGTTTTACATACCTTAGTTTGAAATAAATGAATTGTATTTATATATTTCACAAACAGATCGTCCATGAAAAGGAGATCCAAGCTGAAGATGACCAAGTATTTCTGGTAAAACTTCAGGTCTGGCAACAATTTTTACTCTCTGTTTAGGCTTTGTTTTGTTTTTGTTTGTTTTTTTTGTTTTTTATGTACCAGTTAGTTTGTAATGTATCTTATTCTGAACTCTGCAGACACTCTTAGCCAAGCAACCTGCTGTGACCACAGGACGGCCAGTGGTAAGTGATTTTTATGTTTGATGCAACCCGTTCAAGTGTCTTAACTCCAGTTTCAAAGACAGTAAAATATTCTGTGTATATACATAGGACACAACCAGCAGAGCACCCACAGGTTCTCCAAGGACAAGTAACCGCTCAGCAGCAGCCAATGTTGCTAATGCCATGCCTCAAGCAGGTAAAAATTTTGAACTTGTAGGCAACTTAAGAATGAATGATTTTACAGAAAATACTTTTATATTTAATTTATGTTTCACTTTACGCTTCAGGTCAGACTAGTGAGGGTGTTTTGGCAAACTTCTTTAACAGTCTACTGACAAAAAAAGCTGGAAGTGGGCCTCCCGGGACAGGTGGCAACAACACTCCTGGAACAGTACGGAAATCAGGTTTGTGTATTTCTTCAATGCTTGTATATTGTTAATACTAAAGACTTTCAATTCTACCTTAATGACCCTGGATAGCTATCTTTTATCCTAATTTTCAATAACACTTTTTTTCAGTACTCTTAATACAATGTACAATGTAACACCATGTAATAACATGTAACCTAACCCTTATTACGTGTCACCCATGGGCGTATTAAAATATCTGGATAGGATGTTTTGTTACAGCTTAAACTTCTCTCAATTTGAACTAGTGACCAGTTCATTGATACTGTGGTGACATTTTTTTTTAAAAACAGCAGGTGTTTGGCTTACAGGGCACAGACAGCAGTCAAAAAGGTCAGATTTTGTAGCCATAGACAAAGCCAATTAACACCACTAACAGAGACAATGAGCTGCACAGAATTAATGTTCAGACAGTCACCTGCAGCGTAATGTCTACCCATCTATGATGCAGTGCAATTGATGCATATGATGCAGGCTTAATGAGCGTTGACAATAAAGCCAGGAAATCAGTTTCTAATCCAGTAAGTGTTTTGTACTTCCTAACCTTTAGTCATTTTCATTAGAAAAAAATTACCTCTAATTTGCGTGTATTTAGCACAACGTATTCGCTGATGTTTTTTTAATCACTGAATATTTGTAATTTTACATCAGAGTTCCTGTCAACTTTTCTCTGGAGCTAAAGACACAATGTGAGCCCACACCTTAATGTGAGCTGGAGCTAGAGCAGGGGTTAGGGAGGCAGCTGAGGGCTAGGGTTGCATTGGACACTGCTGACAAGATTTGAACACAGAATATATGCAACTTGTGAAAACACAGTTAAATAGCAGTTAATGCTAAGCCACTATTTAACAAGTCAATAAAAATATAATAAATAAATAAATAAAATAAATAAATAATAATAAACAATGGCTTAAATTGAATCTTGGAGAAAAGTAAAATTACATTATGAATCAGAAGTACATTATGCATTTTTCTGTGTTCATTGCTGTATGCATTATGGAAGACTGAAGAAAATAGTATGACGATCTAAAATATAGTAGATTTCTAATATATTATATATTGTTATAAAATAGTACTCCAGCCCCACCGATTTACTGCTTTACATAAAACATGCATATGCTCAATATATTTGCCAACATTTATGTTAATATTTTTATTGTTATTTTACCACATCCAAAATTCTAGTCTAACCTATTGTAACAAGTAATGTAAAATAAAGCCTAGAATGTTTTTTTTTTTACTTGGGCACCGAGTCAGATTTTTACCTTTTATTTTCCCCACCATACACATCAGTGCTTGTGTTATAAAATGTCACACTTTTTCTTCATAACACCCATAACATTTGTTGTACAGTCTCACTATAACCACCGTTCACATGTGTGTATGTGTATGCACTAGCCAGAGGATGCTGGCCACGTTGAGGTGTGTGAGAGTAACATCATAGCCACTGCTGCTCGAGTCTGTCTTGAATCAGAAGCATCCATCATTTTAACACCCTTCTGTTTACCCTTTGTACAAGGTGTCTCTATTCTTTCGTTGCAAAACAATATTTTATATGTTTTTTTTAGTTTGCGTGGACTAAATTATAAATATAAATACTTGTGCTTCAAGCATTCTTTATTATCTCACATAAAATGGGAAAAAAAAAACTTGCAAGACACTTTGACCCGCTATTGTTATTTTTGCCATGTTTTTGTTTTTTCTGTTCTTTTTCTTTTGGCATGCTTTTTACATTGGCAGTGGCTATTGCCTGCAATCAACACAGCATGTGGGTCTAACTAAGGCTGATTAATGTTATATACAGTGTTCTGAAGATCATTTGTCTTGGGTACTTATTGGGGTTGTTGGTTTTTCATAGAGATACTCATGCTTTTTTGGTGATGACAGATAAAGGGTCTTACATATTGTGATTGTATTCATTTTTGAGAATGTAGTCTAGAAGTAGTTGATGGCAAATTGCCTCTGTTGATATGTAGAGCTAATTTTTACAATTTTTATTACATTATGAAGGATCACTGTATTACGGTCTTTACCTGCAATGCAAAGAAAATTATAATAAGGAATAATCTCTATATTCTATGCACTACTGCCCCTATAAACATAATGAGAAAGCGGTGTGCCAGTTCAGCGCCCTCTTTTGATCAATTGAATATAATGCCGCTCAAACAAAGTATTTCATTTTGTCAGGTGCTCTGTCTAAACAAAGTATCTGCCTAGGCTGGAGATGTAAGGCTACAAAATATGCTTGATATATTGCTTTAGCTCTTACGAAATACTACACAATTGTACATTTGTAATATACACTACAGTGACAACAGTGCATCTTATGCAAACGCTTACACTTCTTTTCGTTTCAGCCTTAATTAAAACCATGCTTGTTTGCCAGTTGCATTTTTGCACCATATTAAATGTTCCAAAACAAGAAAAAAAAAATTCATGCATGCTGATGCACAGAAACATTTAGACTAATTTTTGTATACTGATTTGTTTTGATACAGGTTCAAAGCTTGGAATTAGTGATGTACAGGCAGAACTGGACCGCATATCCAGTCGCGACACTGAAGTAGACTTGTCCAATGCCAACGAATCCCCCGCCAATGATGGACAAGATACATGAAGACCAACACACATCAAACTCCTCCCTCTTTGTCACCTCTCTTCTCTGAGCCACCTCCTGGCTCTTCAGCCTCACTTCCCATTTTCCTCTGTTCATTGTAAAGCTATGAGAATAGAGGAAGATGGACAAGGTAATGGGGTCGGAGTGGACAGATTTACTCACACCATTTTTCACTTTGTCCTAAATGAGAAGAAGTTGCTGTCCTCCTCTAAAACCTTGCAAAAACATTCTTCTTCCTCCATTTTTTTCTTCCTGTCTGTTATGTGGAGACTGATGATTTGCCATTGTTACATGCAAGGCTGTCAGTTTCTCAAAAACAAGGATTTGGGGCCATTGTAGAGGCAAAAGTTGGAGTGCGAATCCCATCTGGATAGACAAAAAGGGTTAAACCTGAACTTGATTGGAGCGGGGAGATCCATCATATTATTGTGATGGTCTTGTTACTGTTTTTTACTCTAGAGTTTAAGTGTGCATGTTGAAAAGGTACCATAGGACAGGTTGTGTGAATGTTTGTATATGATGTGTATGAAATGGGTCAAATTTGGCCAGTATTCTTTGGACAAACAGAACAAAAATGCCTACAACAAAATTGCTAATACACTTGCATTTCCAATTATACACATTTGAACAAAGGGACAAACAAACCAGTATTTGTGTGTGTGTGTGTGCGCATGCGTGTGCGCGTGTGTGCGTACATGTATGTGCGTACATGTATGTGCGTGCGTGTGTGTGCGTGCGTGTGTGTTTTTTTTGAGAATCCAAGAGAGAATGTGGCACATGTAGATAATATGAAGGAATTAATTCAGTGTAGACCTAATATGTTGATATGAGATTTTCATTTGCAACCGAATTACAGAACATTACTGGAACAAAGACACTAATTGTAACAGGTTGCCTGTTGGACTACAAAAGCCCATAATACATAGAGAACACCCTTTACAATATTGTTTTATATTGGCCAAACCACCACTTGTGTCCATTATGTCCATACTAATAAAAACAAAATGCACTGCAACGGTTGTGCAGCATCTGAATAGCTAAGCTTTATTTGTACAGAAAGACACTAGTGATTCTGTAGTAAGTAAATACTGGCGTTGAGGGGTTCAGAATATGGGAGTGTCACATCAAGAATGTACAGTCATTGTCATGCTGATTGGTCCTGTTATTTCAGAGCTCTGTGTTGGCGTTTGTATAATCAAATCTGTTAATCAGTCAAATAAAAGGTGTATTTATTCGGATTGCTCTGCCTGACCGTTTTCTTTAATCAATATACCCTTCACTTTTATTTTTATTATTAAAACCAGCTGCCTTAGCTGACAACTGTGTAGTGCTTTTCCGGTCTTCGGGCTAAGAATGACCACTATTTGTGTAATTGTAAAACTAGTCATTTTATCATAACTAACAAGGATAATCAAGGGCAGTGGTACCTATATTGTTTATAACCTGAGACCTTGTACCTTTTTATGAACCTATATATATTATACTATTATTACCTAGTTAGATTAAGGGAATAATTATGCGTACATTGTTATGTAAGAATATGGGCATCTGTTTTTCCGAGTCAACTGTACCTTAATTATTCTCAAATCCCCCACCCCCAAATTCCCATTACTGTACCCGCTCATGAACCACATTCCTCACTAATGAATCCAATGTACTTTTCTACTCACTACAGTAAACTACTACATTATGTTTTATTTTTCTATTATTTCAAATCCGACATTTTAAAAATAATGATTTTCTTGAGTCTAAATTGAGTTCATTCAATAGTTAAACAACTAGTTCAAAATGTAGCCCTATTTTATCGAGTGCGGCGGAATATCGTAATGTCTCCTTCCGCCATCTTGTCGTTAGATCTTACAGGCGGAAGCAGCATCTTCGGTGGAGCTACGGCGGGTGTGGTTAGGACTCGACACGGGTGGTTCACCTCACAGCAGTCCTTTTCCATTTTCAGTCGAGTAAAAGAGGAAAAAATCCCAGCAAGAGCCACGGAGGAACCACTCAATACTGGTAAAGATACTGCGTTTTAAACTAACGCTCGATTGTGTTTGGAACACGTCAATGTCTGGTTCACGAAGGAAAATCATCTTTGGCGAGGGAGTGGGCTCCGGTGGGGTTTTCTGATTTGGCTGGTGGCTTGTTGGATCTACTTTTCATACGTCCTGGCTAAGCTAACCGAGTCAGTGTAAATGTGGATGTATCGTCACTGTCTTGCCTCTGCACATATCATCTTAAACGCTACGTTTCACATTAACCCATCTGACAAGTGTCGCCCTGCTTTTGTAGTGTTTACGAACCTCGAATCTAGGTTTGTTTATATTAGCTAGTTAGCAACTTAAAGCTAGTGCTTAGCTACGCACGCAAGGTTAGCTTACGTTGAAGGTACTGTAGGTTGAAGGCTAAAGCACAGTCCTGTTAATTGAAGCTGAAGTAGCTGAGGATAAGTTTAGCTTCACGGGAAAAAGAAGTAGCATCCCCGATAAGCCTTTGATGAATGTATGGCAAGAAGTAACATTCATCTTAGGTTAAAACACGTAACTACCTAGGATCCCGTTTTTAACGTCGCATACCATTTATCCTTCGAGTCTTAAACACAACCTACGGGAAAACGACTAATCTCGTTATTAATTTGAACTATTTCTGCCACACTGACACATCGATAGATAACATTTGTATGCGTCCATTGTACTGCTTGTGTCCCTTGAATTCATGTCACAATAGCAATACTTAAACATAAAAGGGTGTCAAATTGCTCGACCTAGTAAGAATCAATCATTAGTGGGAAATCTTATAATAATATGACATGACATGATTAAGAGGGAGATTAGTGAAGCGTGCACTTACCACTTAGACTTTAAAAGTAACTTTGTGTGTGAGATGGTGATGAGAGAACCTTCATTTGTACCGCAAATGTGGCATTTCAGTATTGCAACAGCAACATAACAAGAACAACAGCTGTAGGTAAAAAATCAACAAATGCAAGATAAGTAAGTTGCGGTTCTGGGCTGGAAACAACTAATCAGATTCAATGCAACGAATTGGTTAATAAAATAAGCATACCATTTTTATTTTTTTATTTTAATTTATTTTATTGTAAAGAAACAACAAAATTTTGTAACCTATTTGTTGTGCTCCAAAAGATGTAGGTGGCATCACTTTAGCTTCACCTGGGTCAAATTTAGCAAAAATCAAAACACTTATTGGATCCCTAATCAATTTGTATTGTTTAAAGTAGCTATAAAGTATTCACATGGATTTAATACAGTGTTGTTGTTTTTTTTACATTTAATAATTGTATTATAATTTATAATTAAATCTGAAACAGGAGTTAAGTAAAGTTAAAATAAATTGAAAATGACAATGACATAAATTAGGCATAAGTATAGCAGTTTGGCAATTCAGTGAAGTAATTATTACATTATTTATATTCACTTTTTAATTAGTTATATAAAGTAAGTTGTTGTCTTCACTGATGTTGTGGAAGGATGCACTCCTTTTGATGAGGAAAGATTTGGTTGAAGAAGGTAGTTTCTCTCATTGGAAACCCAATCTGCGAGGACGGGCCTTGGCCATGTGGGGGGAGGGACAGAAATATGCCTTTGATGTTGGTTGCTGCTGAATGGTGAATTGTGTTCATGCTGGCCTGGAAATACCCACTGCTTTGCTCTCGACTGGAGGTGGTGGCATTTCCCCTCACTTGTATGTTTGTGAGACAGGTAGTGGTGTAGACTCTTGAGACAATTTTCAAATACAGATCAATCATATGCTCAAACAAACAAAAATTGAGCTTTCAACTTTTTTTTTTCCTTCCAGTTTAATCTGCTGTACGGGCTGAGGGTCAGCAAGAACAATGGCTACCCAGTGTAAGTAAGCGCTTCATTATCAAAGGAGATTATATTGCAATGTTGAGACTTGATTGAATCCATAATAAAAGTACTTTAGCTGGTACTGACATAAATGCATAAACAGACATAGGCAGGGGTGGGGAATAGCTTGTGAAAATATGATAATTTGGCTTTTATATAATCTATATAAAAAAAAAAACATTAAAAAGGCAGTAATAAGAACAGATTATTATACTGAATTTTTAAATCCAGTCAAGAGAATTAAGACATCTGGGCAATATGAAAAAATAACCACTTAGTTAACATAAACAAAGGAGTTTGATCATTGCCATTTAATTCCTCCTTAGTCTTACCTCTTGATTTCAAAAGTCAGTAACTCAATATTGATTTTGTTTAGGTATTATAGCTGAAGTAATTGCTCAGCCCTAGTATCAAATTATATTTCTGCACTAATGTACTTTATTGTGCTTAACAACATTTAGCTTGATACTTGAACCTCAGCTGTTACCTTTAGAAATACATTTTAACACATTTCTGTTGTATTGCCCCAATATCATTAGAATGGAAGTACTTGTATAAATAATGTTCCCTTAATCTTTTGACTTTCCTCCAGCTGATTTGATGGAGCTGGACATGGCGATGGGAGACAGTAAGGCTGCTGTGAGCCAGTGGCAGCAGCAGTCTTACCTGGACTCAGGGATCCAGTCTGGAGTGACGACCACAGCTCCCTCTCTGAGCGGGAAGGGGAACCCAGATGCTGAAGAGGATGACCCAACTCTGTACGACTGGGAATTTAATCAGCCTTTCACCCCAGAGGCCACAGGTAGGTGCTTCACAGACTGAGAGAAGGTCTGAGGAGGGACTCTCACTTAAAGCTCTTTTGAATTTTCAGATATTGAGGGCTTCGCCATGACCCGGGCTCAGCGCGTGAGGGCAGCCATGTTCCCCGAGACTCTGGAGGAGGGCCTTCAGATCCCTCCTACTCAGCTGGATGCTGCCCACCCCACTGCAGTGCAGCGCTTGGCTGAGCCTTCACAGATGTTAAAGCATGCTGTTGTCAATCTCATTAACTACCAAGATGATGCAGAGCTGGCGACTCGTGCCATGAGCTCACGAAACTGCTCAATGATGAAGATCAGGTAAAAATCGTAAAATAGACACTATGTAGTATGAAAAATTGAAAGTCCTTTTTTACAATATTGCAAGCACATTTCAAAAATCATAAAATCTTTTGATCGTTCTGTTTTCTCTAACCATTTCTGATATATTGGATCCCTAAAATGTTATGTATTGCAGGTTGTTGTGAATAAAGCAGCTGTGATGGTGCACCAGTTGTCGAAGAAGGAGGCATCCCGCCATGCCCTGATGCGCTCCCCACAAATGGTGTCTGCGGTGGTCCGTGCCATGCAGAACACTGGTGATGTGGAGACCGCTCGCTGTTCAGCTGGAACTTTGCACAATCTCTCTCATCATCGTGAGGGGCTGCTGGCGATCTTCAAATCTGGAGGCATCCCGGCCTTAGTCAAGATGCTCGGGTTAGTGATTATGTCCTCAATTAGCAATGACAGCTTGACAACTTGATCTCCAATGCATTTACCATGTGTTCACAGTTCTCCAGTGGACAGCGTGCTTTTCTATGCTATCACAACCCTTCACAACCTTTTACTGCACCAAGAAGGAGCTAAAATGGCAGTTCGTTTGGCTGGAGGACTGCAAAAAATGGTTGCACTATTGTCTAATACAAATGTCAAATTCCTGGCTATTACCACTGACTGCCTCCAGATTCTGGCTTATGGCAATCAGGAAAGCAAGGTACTCTGTCTGTGATATTTCTTTGTTTTGCTTACAACTTTCATATTTGTCATGTGACTTATTGTGAAATCTTATTTACTTTTAGCTGATCATTTTGGCCAGTGGTGGGCCTCAGGCTCTGGTCAACATCATGAGGACATTTACATATGAGAAACTGCTGTGGACCACCAGCAGAGTGCTCAAAGTTCTCTCAGTTTGCTCCAGCAACAAGCCTGCCATTGTAGAGGCTGGTATGTACAATGGTCATGTTCAATGCCAATTAATTAGGGATGGGTGTCAATCTTACTACCATACTCTTATTTATACGTTTTATTGATCCAGTCTTTTTTTAACACTACAACTATCTGTGTCTTTTTTTTTCTTTTCTTTTTTTTAAGCAAAGAAGTAAAATATAAACAAAATTACAATTATTTTCTGATACTTGCAGATATTTATTCCCATTTTTATGGAAATGGGCCTGGTTTTAATCTGTTTATTAATTCACTGAAATGGCGTTTTAAAGACACATTGCCTAAATGTGCAGAAATGTAACATTGTGACATTTGCATAACTTCTCTTCACCAATAAAGAGATTATTTTTATAATTTTTCTTATGCATATTAGACTGCATACTGTAGTATTCACTTTTTTTTTTTTTTTTTTTTTTTAAAGGAGGCATGCAAGCCTTGGGACTCCACCTGACAGATCCCAGTCAGCGTTTAGTTCAGAACTGCCTCTGGACACTGAGGAATCTCTCTGATGCTGCCACTAAACAGGTACAGGCAGTGTGCTGATGACATTTCGTGAATACACAATATTCCATGCTTGATTTAACCCCTTTATGTGCAGGAGGGAATGGAAGGTCTCCTGGGAACTTTGGTACAGCTTTTGGGAAGCGATGACATCAATGTTGTGACTTGTGCTGCAGGCATCCTCTCTAACCTCACATGCAACAACTACAGCAACAAACTCATGGTCTGCCAGGTAGACTTTGGAACACACACAACAAATGTATGAAGACATGATTTTTAAGATTTGTAGTGAAAACCAATCTTCTAATGTGAAGGTTGGAGGTATTGAGGCCCTGGTGAGAACAGTGCTTCGTGCTGGGGACAGGGAGGACATAACCGAGCCTGCTGTCTGTGCCCTGCGCCACCTTACCTCCCGCCACCAGGATGCTGAAATGGCCCAGAGTGCGCCTTCATTATGGGCTTCCAGTTGTGGTCAAACTACTGCACCCTCCATCCCACTGGCCTCTCATCAAGGTCACAGTCTCATCTAAAACTCAGTTAATCTTGAGTTTTACATTTTTAGCATCTAACAAAACTTACTTTCTTTATTTTTAGGCCACTGTTGGACTTATTCGCAACCTCGCTCTTTGTCCCGCTAATCACAGTGCGCTGCGTGAGCAGGGAGCAATCCCCAGACTTGTGCAGCTTCTGGTGAGGGCACACCAAGACACCCAAAGACGCACAAGCATGGGAGGCAACCAACAGCAGTTCGTGGTGTGTTTCCAAACTTTAATGTCAAAAATTTCTCTCTGTGTGCATGTACTTTTGCCTAATTTTTTGTTACTACACAGGAGGGAGTGCGTATGGAGGAAATTGTGGAGGGGTGCACAGGTGCCCTGCACATCCTGGCCCGGGATGTCCATAACAGAATTGTCATCAGAGGACTTAACACCATTCCACTCTTTGTCCAGGTGAGCAGTTTGGTTTTAATGCTTAAGGGTTACATCTTTATAAAAGTTAATTTGCTGGCTTGTTTTCTCTCTGAAGCTGCTCTACTCTCCAGTGGAGAACATCCAGCGCGTGGCGGCAGGTGTGCTCTGTGAACTGGCTCAGGACAAGGAAGCAGCAGAGGCAATTGAAGCTGAAGGAGCCACTGCCCCACTTACCGAGCTGCTCCACTCAAGAAATGAGGGTGTTGGTGAGTTGATGTACGGTGTGTCAGTGTCAGTTTAGTTTTTATTCAGTTGCATTTATGAATTTGGTCTTTTTTTTGTTTTTTTTCTAGCAACCTATGCTGCAGCTGTCCTATTCCGTATGTCTGAAGACAAACCACAGGATTATAAGAAACGACTGTCAGTTGAACTGACAAGCTCTTTGTTCAGAACTGAACCAATGGCATGGAATGAGGTATGTTTTTTAACAATATCTACATCTATACGGTCCTGTAAGCCAATAATCAAATACGGTGAAAGTCCTTTCACACAAGCTGATACTGTGAATAAATTCATTTGCATGTTTTTACAGCTTTCAGGTAGGGGAGATAAAAAAAATAAAAAAATAAAACATATTATTATTAGTATACTACTATTAGTGTACTAGTACTAGTACTACTACTACGAGAATTGTTGTTTTTGTTGTTATTATGGTTATTATGATTGTTATAATTATGAATGTATGATTAAAAGTAATTGCAGAATAATATAAAATAAATATGTATTTAATATTAAAAAAATAAACAGTATGTCCTTCAGTGTCAGTTTTGACCTAATGGACTGTGAACTGACCAGTGAGGTTAACCCATAGACTGTACATATGTAAATAGCTAACCACCGCGTTCGAAATAGGAAGTTTGCATGCGGGCTTTTCTGGGTTCCACTGACCCTGGCTCCCATGACTTACACTGGAATATTATTGCCCCTCTCTCTGTAACTGCTGCTGTGAGCCTCATCATTTGGGTCTTAAAATGTTCGTATAAACACGCTCTACGTGATCCTGGTGTTTTTTTTCCCCTCTGTTTTTGTTATTCAAAAAAAGTCCTATACATTGGAACCTGGCTCCAGATTCACTCCCGTAACCGTTAGCATTGCGAGTTTCATTTGAGTGGTGTTGAATGGTATGAGTGACGTCACACTCAGTCCAATTTTTTTATATATGGGTCTATGGATTAACCTTAGTCATAAGCAATACAACAATTCCTGGGTTTGCAATGATGAGTCATCATCAGTATCATTGCTGTTGGGAATTACTCTTCTCCACCCAGTTCCTTAATTTGATTCATTGCAAAAGAAAATTTCAATTCTGTCAACTGGACAAAAGTTAGAGTGAAGGCATTTTGCTGCTTATCCAAGTGACTTCAGTTATGGCAGTGTGCACCAGCATTCTGACCAAAAAGTAAAAAAGGTTTGTCCATTTAACAGAATTTAACTTTTCTTTTGCTATGGATAATACTTGGTCATCTCAGCGACTACACAGAATTTTCTTATTGATTCCCAAAAAACATGTCTCTGTCTAATTTCATAAGCCTGTTTTCATAAGCCTTGTTTTGGGGAAGCAGGTTTGTTTTTTTCCCTCTTCAAAATAAAAGCTCTTCTTGCAGTCTAATGGGTACAGGGCCATTTATTATTATTGACCCATAGTGCACACATGTCATATTAACATTCTTGTGACATTTTGGCAGACCGGAGACTTGGGACTGGACATTGGAACTCAAGGAGATCCACTGGCCTACAGACAAGATGGTACGCATCAGTTTATTTATACCTAACATTGTTTTTACTGTTCATCATGTTGACAATTTAATTGTTATGTTAGATGGTGCATACCGGGCTTATCCAGCCCCCTATGGTCAGGACGCCCTGTTGGACCCTATGATGGAAGGGGCAGACTATCACGCTGAGGCTCTGCCAGACCTGGGCCACCACACTGATCCATTGCCAGATCTGGGACACACCCAAGACCTAATGGACAGCAACCAGCTGGCCTGGTTTGACACAGATCTGTAGAATTGGTAAAACATACACTAGTTACTCTTTTAATCATCTCTTAACTATATAATACTAATATAATCTTATATCCTTTCTTTCAGTTTTATTCAGTAAAACCTGCATTGTGGTTGGCCCATATTATCTAAAAGAGCATTAGAATTGGCCTGAAGAGTTGTTCAAGGTATGAAGAAAATGAGTGGTCTTGGAAAGTGCCTGAAACATGACAAAGATGGTTGCTACTGGAATGTTTTAAGGAAGTTGTATTATTGTACAAGACAAGAGTACCAAGAAGTGGAATCACTGTAGAGGGCTTAAAGCAGGTTCAATTTGGCGCACACAAGGTGGTTTTCAGTTGGAAACATACATATGTTTAGCCTTGCCTGTATTATCAGTTTTTGTTTCTTATACTTTTTTATTTCTTTTTGTATTACTCACTTTGTTTTGGTACCGACCCAGCTTGCCTTTTGCTCTCGCCATCTTCATTTTATCTTTTTAATCAAAAACATTTGTATTTTGTTTTTTATTTTACGTAGATGGCATTTAGTATTAAGTTATAGTGATATTATACAATTCTTTTTGGTCTATGGCAGAATGTGTAGAACACTAATAATCAGTTAAATGTACTCTTGACTTAAAGTGTAACATTGTGTAGTTTTTTTATAATCCTGAAAATGGAGAATTATGCATTCTTAATATGTGCTTGTTTAAGCATAAAAATGTCAGTGTCACAAATGTTCTAAAGGGGATGCGGGTGAAATTGGGGGTGGGTCAGGGATAAATCTAGAGACAAGTGTTTTATATACAGTATCACTTGTAGGTTAACTATTTTGTATTCTCATTGGATGTCTGATAGAAAAATCTTAAATGCTATCACTGGTGGTCAAATAAAACAGTTTTATGTGCTATTGACGATAGCTAGGTTGATGAACCAGTTGTAGTCCTGCTGTGATTGTTTTGGAGACGAGGTTATGACACGGCTGAATAATAAAAAGGCATTTTATTTCAATTGTCTCATCTTTTATTCAAACTCTAAAGTATGTTTGTGTCTCTACTTTTTGATTTGAGGAGGATAAAGTTGGGTAAGTGGCATTTACTTGCATTGGCAATGTAAATTGAAGTTTTAGGTTTTCTCAATGAAGTTGAGGCTAAAATGAGAAATACAACAACTCTTTTTGAAACATTTTATTAAAAATATAAAGCAAGTGCTATGGAAATTTTACAGTTAATTTTACACCCAGGATCTAAAAATGCTATGGCACAGAATTGGTGCAGAGTAAGTGTTGTGGATGCTGTGAGGGCTGCTGAAATAGGGACCAGAGCCGGCTCCGCTGATGTTCATGGCGAATGTGGGCTCATTGCTCTCGTGATTCCTCTTTATGATTTTTGCAGCTCTAGGTGAACAGAGTCCGTGGTGTGTGCTGCCCCCTACCGGCCACATGGGGGAAGGTTCAAATGAACGGTCAAGCTCCTCTGTTTCACAGTTCACGGTTCTTTTTACCCCCCTGTGAGACAGTCCAGATTGCTGCTCTGCTCTGAATGTGACAGTGGACAGAGGAGAAGGTGTGGGGGTCCTGGCACGTGGACTCTCCCTCCGTAGAATAGATTCAATAGAAAAAGGACTGCTAAACTTGACTTTACATTTGACTTTGCAGGCATCTTCAGATGAGTAGACTGAAACCCTCTTCTCTGGTGGTTGAATTTGAGTTTGGAGTTTTGAGGCCAACTCGGGGAAGAACTCCAGGATCCCTCTGAAGTGACGGCGCACCATCTTCTCTGTGATCTGCTTTGTGTCCAGTTTCCAGTAGTTCTTTTTACTGTTCTGGGACCCAGGAGTCAGTGGGACCTAAACAACAACGCACACATGACTCCTTTTGCCAACAAGTCACAAGATGCTACAATAGCACAAAAATATTGGGTTAATGTATTACCTTAACAAAACATTTGCTGCTGGAGAGGCAGACTCTGATGTTGACCTCTACAGATTTTCTATCTTCAGGCATCAGTGGAGCCAATCTGTACATCAGCTGACCCAGTTATGTTAGTATTATACAAACAATTAAGCAATAAATATTCATTTATTCTTGTATGTCTCATTCTCATACCTGGTTGAAAGTCAGCATTTTGTCTGGAGCGCCTTGAAGAATAAGTGCAATCTTCGCCAGGTAAGTTGTGCTTTTAAAAAAACCTTGGTACTCAGTGCCACCAGCTGGGACAAAGGTGGGCAGCTGGCAACCCAAGTTCACCATCTTCCTGCTTGTTGTTTGTAGAATGGGATCAGAGTCCTGTACGCCCTGAGGCTGCTCTGCTTTTATACCTGGTCGGGACAATAGTTTTTGGGGGTGTGTTTATCTGTGTAAAGGCACTCTCTTCTGAAGTTGATGGGCCATAAATGGCAAAGGTGGGGTCATTGTTTTGAGTAGTCTGCGCCATTTGCATTAGATTAGCAGGATCACTAGGTTTAACCTAACCTGTAAACAAGGATTCACAGACAAACTACAAATTTAACAAAAGTGAAGTGACTTGAATTATATTACAAATAGGCTAAGGTATTTTCCTTGGCTGTTTGTATGAGTGCCGATTTTATTACACTATCCATTGTACAGGGGCCAAACTAAATATTTTTCTGGATATTATTTTATTTCCTGTATGCATTTTATCAAAACAAATTATTAAAATGTTAACAATTATTTTGCATTGTATCCATGGATACTACATATTAGCTATTTTTTTTAACTTTTAACTAAAATTGAAACTTTTGCTTCAGAATTACATTTTACACAACCGTTTGCCCAGTACAAATACTGTATTGTCTTACTGTCATTTGTCACTAAATCATAAACATAATTATCCAGTTTGCCATTTTAATTTTTAAACTCAGTTTTATTCTAACTCTGACTCTAAACAGAGTCAATTTATACAAACCAAGAGAAGCACTGACTAAGAAGAACAACTTGACAAAACTATGTCTTAGCACATTATTGTTACTTTAACTATGGTGTTACAGTAACAGAGCCTGACAGGCCTAAAGTACAGCTCATTTGAAAGGCACTCCCTCAATCACACTGAAGTGGATTCAGCTGAGCAGTTGGGAGCCTACAGCTGAGTGGGGCTGGGCTCCTTGCTCCATGCATCTGAATTCCACATGTAAATGAATCTAATGATTATTGTACAGCAAAGGCACTGCATCTTAATAGGTGAGTGAGTACTGAGCAGGCGTTAACTATTGGAATGTGATTGTGATTGTGTTCGACTTGCTATTGTTTTTTTACAGTCTAGCTCTGAATTACCTTACTTAAAATGTAGCTTCTATCAACTTTCATATATACTGTTAAAAGTTTATACATAGACCACAAACTGAATCAAGATCTGTCTGTTTTGGACATGACAGGGGCATAGCATATGGCTGATAATACTACACAAACATTTATACATCAATGCATAATAATTCATGTTAATTTATGTAAAAGTTTTAAACATTCTGTTATTTAGGCTTTAACACAGGACAGCCATACTCCCATTTGATCTCCCAGTAAACAAGGGTGCAAGATGGAGAACAGTGACTCCTGCTTCTCGGTTTGCCGAGCTCAACATGTTCTGTTTTCAAAAAGCACAACTTATCTAGCAAAAATAGCAGTGATTCTGCAAGATGCCCCAGACAAAATGCTCACATTTAGTCAGGTTTGTATCTTAAACTTTCATGTTAAATACGTGTGTCTCTTTGCCATTACATTGAAATAAAACATGTTTTTATGTGGTCAGTTGATTTATAGAGTTGCACCACTGATCCCTGAAGATAAAAAATCTGTCGAAGGCAACATTAGAGTCTGTCTTTCCAGTAACAAGTGTTTTGTTAAGGTAATAATAATAAAAATAAAAATAATAATAATAATAATGATTTTTATCCAATAGTGACTTTGCAAAGGGAGTTATGTGTGCGTTGTTGTTTAGGTCCCACTGACTCCTGGGTCCCAGAACAGTAAAAAGAACTACTGGAAACTGGACACAAAGCAGATCACAGAGAAGATGGTGCGCCGTCACTTCAGACTGATCCTGGAGTTCTTCCCCGAGTTGGCCTCAAAACTCCAAATTCAAATTCAACCACCAGAGAAGAGGATTTCAGTCTCATCATTTGAAGATGCCTGCAAAGTCAAATGTAAAGTCAAGTTTAGCAGTCCTTTTTCTATTGAATCTATTCTACGGAGGGAGAGTCCACGTGCCAGGACCCCCACACCTTCTCCTCTGTCCACTGTCACATTCAGAGCAGAGCAGCAATCTGGACTGTCTCACATTGGGTTAAAAAGAACCTTCAACTGTGAAACAGATGAGCTTGACCGTGCATTTGAACCTTCCCCCATGTGGCCGGTAAGGGGCAGCACACCCCACGGACTCTGTTTACCTAGAGCTGCAAAAATCATCAAGAGGAATCACGAGAGCAATGAGCCCACATTCGCCATGAACATCAGCAGAGCCGGCTCTGGTCCCTATTTCAGCAGCCCTCACAGCATCCACAACACTTACTCTGCACCAATTCTCTGCCACGATGCCCACCGATACAGACTATGACAGTAGGCCACTTATAACACAAAGTTTGCACTATTTTTGTCTATAATTTAGCCTGTCTCACCAGTTTTGTTTTTTTGTTTTTTGTTTGTGTGGAAGCTGCCCGACTGGTGATTAATAGAAAACCTCAAGCCTAAAAAGGCCACTCCCTACGAGTTTTTATTTTTGTTTATTTTTGTTAGGTTTTTATTTTTGTTGTGACAGGAAAGAGTTATAGACCTACCCCCTTACGGTAGCGTTTACATGTGTTTTTGTATTGTACTATTTGTTTTACATATGTTTAGAATTGTTTTTAGATATGAGTTCAAAGACTGAACATTTTGCTGTCTCGTATAAAGTGTGAAATGATGCGATGTATCCATGCTCTTTTTGTAATCTAAATCCAGACTAGAGTTGACTGACCACTGTGGCAGATTGTCTGTTTGCTCTTCTCCAGAGCTACAATGTCCACTGCCTTCACGTTAACCCCAGACTCAGATTACTGTAAATTTACGATACAGCAATTTTGCATTTGTTAAGAAGCCTACTGTATTTTTTATAATTTTATATGTGAATATTTGTAGAATTTTCTAGGCTCCGAACTAAGATGAGCTGTTCAGCCTTTGCCATCAGATGCCCACTCTCTCCCTGTGTGGGATTACTGCTGGACGACCTAGATTGCTATTCCAACCCTCCTGCCCTGTATTTTTCTCTCTGGTTCCCTCCCTCTATCAGATAGTCAACAGATTACACACTGAGCAAACCGCCACACAGCTGCAGAGCATGTGACATGCTGGGGAAAGACACAAAAGCATTTATCTCTTGTTTCTTGAATTCCTGTGGATTTTTGTGGCTCTTCACTAGTGGCACAGTAGCCCCACTGACCTTTGTTGGACACTATCGACTGTTTAATGAAATGTGTGATTAAGACCTATAATGGAAGTCACCCAGAGTCAGGAAGTTCATGATGTTGGAATCACACTGCGTATGCTGTCTGGAGAATACGCAGCGTGTGCACCAGTAAGCCTGCCCAGTTTAGAAATGGGCTACAGACAATTCATGCAGATTAGTATTACCAATTGATCATATTGCTTATTTTATCTTTAACTCGTCAGACACCCACGTATTTACTTTTGTTTATTGCAACCAGCCATTAAAACACAATTTTCACGTAGCCATCAAAAGAATTCCACATGTTTGATGCGCTCCATGATCCCAGCATACCAGTAACGACAAAATAAAGTGCGTGCAGATACATAAACCCAATCCAACCAAATGCCACTTTCAACAGTGCCAGGTTGGGACTTGTAGGATACTTGTGGCTACACGCGCGTCCTAAAGGTGTGGCCTGTCTGTCGTTCATGTTGTCACGTTTACATCCGGCGTGCTCTAGTCACGTCTCTCTCGTCCGCTAAATCTTGACCACGCCCACCCATGCTTCATATTCGTTTTATACATGCCTTTCGCATATTTCCTTCATTACTTTGAATTCAACACACATTTTTCATTACTGAACCAAAAATAGCTTTAATGTAATTTGGTAATATAAGTTGATTAAAAAAATAAAAATTTCCTTTTTGTACAGTGTGCAAATGACCTTTGGATTTCATAGTAGTTTTACTGCATGAGAACAGTTTGTTTGTCTGCTTCACAAAGGAGGTTATTAACAAAAGTGATATCCAGTCCCCCACCAATAGGCCTGGTCTATTGATCATTAACAGTCACCCTGTAAATTAACCAGCCATCACGGGGTTGTTTTATGTCCCACTTTTCACAGAGACTTTTAATCATTGATTTTAATATGTTATACTATTGTAACCTTTTTCAGAACGTTTTTAAATGTGCAAGTCAATGTTGGTCAGTCCTATTTTTATTCACAGTTAACTTTGGGATACTTTTTATCTTTTGGGACTCCTCATCCCAAGCACTCAACAGCTGTTTCCCCTGTTTGGAGGTGTTTGTTGTTTTGACTGCAATTTGTTCCTGAATAAGAACGAGTGAAAATAGAGGCCTCCCTGCTTCACAGCAGGAGCTGAAATACAGTAGTACATATTACTTAATGGTGGAAAATATTACTTTGAAAGAGATACATGGTTTTGAATTGAAATTACAGACAAAATTAGATGGAAGTAATAAGGACACTAAAATACATTTATCTCAGACTGTAAAAAAAATAATAAAATAAAATAAAATAGAAAGAATGTGATTTCAGTAGGCCTAAAAAACACTGATAAATAGGTTATGTCTTGAGTTGCCTTGGCCATCAGCTTATGTCATCCCGACCTTGTGTGTGCATGGACATTTACTGATGAAATGCAATGTACCTGCTGCTGGAAAAAATATATATTTTCTGTAATTTAGTGAGACAATAATTAGTTTCACATGGCAGTGTTGCGTTACTGAGGCCTCACAAATTAGTTCTGTGGTTAACCTGATGAACAGTGACCGTGGATCTGAGGGGATTAGGTAAGATGTCTGTTTACACTGTAAACTTATGTAACAGTTAGATTCTGGTGCACACACGGTGTCATGCAGTGTTTGCTCCATCTATGTCTAAACATGATTTGTTGCCGTGTATATATATATATATATATATATATATATATATATATATATATTATATATTGCACTCAATAGTCTTAGAATAATATCTTTTTTCTTTAGATAAAATGTCAGCTGATGTTTGGTGTGGTTTTGATTTTTGCTGTTTTTCATTTTTTTTATTTATCATTTCTCTATTTTCAAGTAATCTTTACAAAACCATGTAACTTTCTGGAGGTGGCATGTCACCTGCATGATTTCATGGAAATATAGTTAAAAACATACTTTGGAACATTCCCCATGTTTTATACCATTATGTGGAATATTATAGCCAAAGGAATAACATTTCCATTGAAACAATCAGGAGAAGGCCCTCCTCCAGGCTAAGAAAGAGGTTTGTGGAGATATATGTCTGCTAGCAATAAGGGCACATGCATTTAAATGTTTTACAGTGTAATATAAACATTCAAAAATGGTAAATAATATAAATATTACTACTACTAATAGTAATTTGGCTAAAAAGTTTTAGAGGGGAGCTTTAAATTAGAGGTGATATATGTTGCCCAAATAGTTTAACCTTTGACCTGTGTTACAACAAGCAAACAATCTTCATTAAGTCACATTGTTATCATTAACTATTTGCTTAGCCCAGTTGGTCACTCTATAACTAACCTTATCAACATCAAGGTAAACAGAATGGCCTTATCATGGCATTCTGATAACTTAACAGAGGTCAGACATTAAAATTTTATGCTCAAACAACAGCAATAAACATATGTTATAACCAAATAAATATATGCTTCGTCTTATTGTGCTATAAAAAACATTTCAAGAAACATCTAGTAAAATCTCAGTGGAGGAAACATTTCACAATTCAATATGTACTAGTATGTTGTAGGCCTGTTACAGCGATTACTACAACGGCTCATTGTTCAATCAATTATGGCTGAAACAATATTTTGGGGGGGCTCAATATTTGTTGTGTCTACCTTTTCTTTGAACTATAGTGGGGAATTTTATGTTACGCTTGTAGTATAAGTTTTGAGCGATAAATTCCCTGGCTAATATGTTAAATATTGAAGTGGTTCGCTCAGCTATTTATTTATTTCAGTGCTTCACATTTAGAAAGGAGTTTACATGGAATTATCTGGCTTTAAGATCTTCATGTCAGTGGCATAAAGTAGTTTCATGTAATATTTTCTGTAGCAATATATCACACTACAAAATGTGTTATTGGGTATGGAATAATTGATCACCAATATATGTAACTATGGAACTGATATATTAAAAAAAAAAAAAAAAAAAAAAAGACATAAATCCTGGTTAAAGAGTTATCATTTCGCACCAAATACACAGAACCAAACACATTTGGGTGTCACCTGTCTCTCATTACCTGATACGTGTTTCACTTGTTTTGACTGTAGTAATAGATTCACTACTCACATTTAACTACGTGACCTACAAATACTCTTCATGTCATGTGTGTATGACTCACCCACTCCATTACAACACTATTGCATGTATGGGGACTACTGGTTTTGTCTAGCCTTGTCTAGTTTTATCTAACAAGAAATCTAGGCTATGAGTAAGTGCTGAATAATATTACACAGCAAAAGTGACACAATGAAGGTAATAGCTTCTAAGAAATAAACACCCAAAGCAGGGATCATATTACAATGAGATGAATGCAGTTTAAGTTGGTTAGAATAAGTCAAGGCTATACTGAACTTCAACATGAAACTTTTATGTGTATGGACTGTCCACCATCTGCTTGTATACATGGAGATATTTTCCTGGGTATTCATGTACATGAAAATGAGTAGGTGGCACAAACAGGCCAAGTTACAGAACTTGTCTGTGGAGAGGTAAGCCCATTCTCATTCAAAATTTTTAGCAAAAGAAACACCTGTAGGTGAATACATGCAATAAAAATAAGTTTAACACTGGAATTTTCTGGCAAGGTAATAAAATCTGCATATAGACCTCCCAGCAGAAAAGTTACACAGTGCACATTTAAGATTTTACATTACCTTTGTCAAGTTAACAAGTACCTGATGCTTTATGGTTATTTAGGAAATGCACAAAATGACATCCAATATTTGAATTTCCCCTCAAATGAGACTATTGTCTGTAGTGGGTTCCTTTTGACGGCCTCACATTACAGTGTCACAGAGTGTCCATTGTATCCTGACAAGGTCTTCACTCACCCTGCTCCAGCACTTCTGGTCACACTCACACTGTTTGAGCCGGACAGCAGCAGGTTGGAAAATTCCATCCAGAGGTTTGGATTATACAGTATGAGCAAAGGAATTGTGGTATGAGCAACAAACAGATGTGTGCATATCACTTGACCTGTCATTTAACGACTTTTCCTTTTTTCTTTATCTAAATTAATTTAGTAATACATTTCAATTCATATTACTAATATCTATGACTCTTGATAGAACACAACTGGGCCTAGTTTTCTATTGAGTAAAGTATTTCTGATTAGAAGTTAAAAAACATCCTGTCTGAGATTACTGAAAGTAATAATTAGCGATCACTGTTCTAAACCTAAGCTCAGATTGACGCATATATGGTCAAAGTAACTCTGATAAGACACAATTGTGTTATTGGAAGAATAGTGTTATTTGCATGAGCAGGGAAGGGCTACCCTTTGTACATACTTATCTTCACTTGGCCTAAAATCAAGGTTGCAAACCTGGCAGCATTCCAGTCCCCTTATGTTTTGCACCACAACCAACAATGGCAAAACATGCTGTCGACACCTACACACGCGCAACAGTACAACAGAGATACAAGAATATGTGCCTATAGGAAAGGTATATAGGCATTTTGTAATTGCCATAGGTTATTTTTAGGGTTCGTCAACTTTTTTCTCTTGTCTTGTTGCTACTATAAAACAGTCGATCATTGGTTAAACTGTTCAAGACTCCTGTGAGAAGTACAAGAACCAGAGTGTCCTCCTCGACGCTGGAAATGCTCCGCTGCGTGCGTTACTAGCCCTCAGTCCAGCTGCGGTCCAATGAAGTGGAGAGTGGGCGTGACTTCAAGCCCCAAAGCTTTATAAAATTCCCCCATACATCCGCATTTCACGTAATAAACAAAGCAAGGCGTTTTCAGAGCTAGAGTATCCGATCTGACACAAGGAAAACGTTTGTTCGAAGGCTGTTTGAGGAAGTGTTTACTCAGGACAATCAAAGCATCACAGGTAGGTTTTCACTTCAGTCAATAAACTAAATACTTTTTAGTAAGAAATACCCTATGTAAGCTACTGTAGCCTGCATGTAGTTAAAATAGGTCTACATTTAACAGGTTACTTTACGTGCATGCCATTTGATACTCATACATGTGACAGACGGATGTTTCTTTTGAAGATGGGACTTGATATAAACAAATTAACTTTTCAGCAAGTTGTAGGCTATACCATGTAGACTATCCATGGAGTATTTTTTTACTAATGAGTGAAATGCATATATATAACCGCATGAAGGGTTCAATCATGCCCTAAATTCAGAGTCCTGTGAGTTTGAATTATAGCCTACTGTAAAACCTGACTGGACTAGAAAAGTCAGTTTTAGTGGGAACACAGGCAGCATGGATGTTGTTTGAACATGTATGCCTCTATTGTTTATCCCACAGACAGACCTGCCTCTGAGCAGAGTGTGCTACAGAGCTCCACAACATTTTGATATCTTTTGCAGTACAAAATGTAGGCCGGCTTACTGCAGCGCCTGCCCTGCTGCTGTTGCCACTCTGATTTGACAGATTAAGCAAGTTCCCAAAGATTAGGAAAGCAATCGTTGTTTTTACAGATGGATGCAGGCTTGTGGATTTAAAACTGTACAGACACCATGTGCACGGCCTGGACTTGATTCTACCCCTCCCCTAAAATAGTTGAATTGCTTTACAAATCTAATCTCACAGTATACTACTCTCACACAGTTTTGTAACTTTGATTCCCTGGATTAAAGGAGTGTATCAGGGTTTAGTGTGGAAAAACAAGGGCTCATGTAGAACACCGCAAAGCAGCAGCCTGTTGTGGTCCATGTCTTAAATATTAAGATTCTGCATAGTGTAAACAAAACTTCTGCACTTGAGGCATAATGTTGAATAAATAAGTAAAGTGTTTCATATTTGATAATACAGTACAAATAGGCCTCATATATACTAATACAAATACCATTATGTTATGGTTAAATTAGTTCCAGAATTCCAGTTCAATCTAGGTCATTCTTTGTGGATGATCCCAGTCTATATCCTCCCACCATTTCCTGTTAATGATTGCATAACATTGTTTCATTTCTCCCTGGGCCAAAATGTTTAAATACTTTATGATTTTTGCCCTTTTTATTTTAACTTTTAAAATAAAAATGCAACAACAAATTGTTATAGGGGTCATGCTAAAACTGGTTGAACCTGTGTTTGTGAGAGTGGATGATTTGTAGAGATTTATAAAAAAAAAAAAAAAAAAAAAAAAACTCCTAAGACAGCATGGACTAGTTTGAATAAGAAAAAAAAGAAGAAAAAAAAAAACACTTCTTGAACATCTGTGTACTTTCACCTCATGATCAGACAATGGCAGTTGCAGAAACACTGGGTTCATAGGGTCTGAATGTCCAGCCTTTAAATCTCCACCTCCACTGAACTTCACCCACGTCAAACATTAGCTCAGGAACATCTCTGTGTTATCATGTGGCCTAGTTTGTGGAGATCCTAGCTGGCACCTGGCTACTAGTGGATGTGAAATGGCATTATCCATTTCTAAAAAATATATAGTCTACCACATAATTGCAAGGAAATTAATATTCTAACTTTTCAATATTGCACATTTACATTACATCATTATACACAAGTCTTTTGTGACATTCAGAACTTTTTATTATTTTGTAACAAGCTTTTTCCCCCCAATATGTGGTCTTTTCATGTTGCTTGTCATAAAGCGGTCACATGTCTTTGGAATCTGTACGGGGGCTGATCTCTTGTTCTCTAACAAAGATCCCGCAGTGCTGAGACGGCCATGTTTTTGGAGGCCTCTGCAGAAAAATGAACCTGTTGTGTGATACTCCTCTTCCTTGTGCTATTGTCAGAGCCAGCTTAATCTGGTTTGTGCCATGTACAAGCATGTGCATACAGGACCAGTGTGTGTCTAGGGTGTATACTCCTCCTGTGATATGGGCAGAAATTTGAACAAGCTACAAATCTTTGCCCTTTGAAAACCTTGCAATCCTGACAGGTTTGGCTTGGTTCACATGTAGAAAGCATGAATGAAAATCTTAAACTGCAAACATGGCAACACTGCAACTTCTCAGCAACAAGGGACAAACAGTGGGAAACTATAGGTGCTAATCCAGAGGGGTATTGAAAAGATGTTTGGGTGTATTGATGGGAAAGTGCACTTCCTTTTCCTATTGGTCAATCTAGGACCTAAACCAGCTTCTGGCTCTCAGGACGGTGCAGGGACCACAGTACAAAGACCTCTGTTGACTGACTGGTTCCATTAGCATGCATAGCCACTGCTAGTTCACTCTCCTCTAACTTAGCATCAGGATCAGCAGAACAAACTAACGCCTGGCATCTCCACACAAGACCATTTTTCTTCTACTCTAAGCCCCTCGCCATCCCTTTGTCTTTATGTCCCTTATATTTACCCGTTCACTCTTCCAGAAAGGAAACCCATTGAAATCATTCTTTATCATGTCAGGGTTTTTTTGTTTTTTTTGTTTTCAAACATTTTAGTTGCAACAGTATTTTCACATTATGTTGTTTTATGCGCTGGATAAGTTTGAGTGTATTAGAGGTGGGTGGGGCAGGTGAAGTTCTCCATGTGGGTGTGGTCTTCTCGTGTCACTGCAGGTAACTGTGCCCGTCACTACATGCTCCCGCTCTGTACATTTAACATACTTTGTTTGATAAGACACACACCCAGCTGGAAGGCATTTGTCATTTTCTTTTCAAAGAACCAACCTTAAGTGCATATTTAAACTTTGTGAAGTCAAATTAAATGTTACTTTATTCTCACAGACTCCTATCAGCAAAAATGGATGATATTCAGACTGTTGAGTCAAAACCACTGTTGGTTGACAGGGAGTTACCGGTAAGTACTCCCTTAAAAAATAATGGAATTTATTACAGATAAAAATATAATTTTATGCTAAGCATTGGTGTATCATTTAACTGTACAAAACATGTTTGGCCATGCTGTAGATGTAGACAGGATGAAGCCTGCAGGTTATTGGATTAGAGCATGTTACAATGTAATTAGTTTTGTGTTTTCACCACTGTTCTTCCTTCACAGGGTCTGAGAGAGGCTGTAATGCAGCTAGTTGTTAAGGTGAGTCTCTATAAACTGAAATCTGAATAGTTTAATTGTAGCTTAGTCTGAAAACTTTTACCCTGTCAAAGTAATTTTTTAGTACCATCTAGTGGTGGATAAACTAAAATGCCAGCATATTGATCAATGCACTAGAGACGGTGGCCCATTTATCACACTGATGGCTGTGTCACTGTGATGTCATAAAAGCAATGATCTAAATTGAATCATGCTAATTCTCTTTAAAAGTGATGAAATACATTGCAAACTTAAATTTATTAAGTGTGATTTGTGCTTTGTTCGAGTAGGACCTTGGATAGAGTACCTTTGTACACGAGTATTAACATGTTTCTTTGGTGTCTGTATTGTGAGACATTTTGAGATATTTTTTTAACTTGTCATAGCTTGTAAAGCTGCATTGATGAATGGGTGGAGTGTTTTGTTCATTTGTGTTCCTGAGCTAATTCACTCTACGTGCCCTTGATTTGATCTGCTGCCAGTGCCACACTGACCAGATACCAGCAGGCAAAGTGCTAACAAAGCCGGTGTATATATTATAAAACCACTACTTTTAGGAGTTGTTTATAGAAATACATGAGTATGTGTTCAGTTAATTAATTGATTTTTTAAATGACTGTAGCAGTGAAGAGTAGAATGGTGTTTGTGTGTTCTGGGTATGAACTGTTTTGTTTTGTGTTGTAGTACGTTATTATCCCTGTAGGGAAATTGTCCTCTGCATTTCACCCATTGTTTCAGGAGCAGTGGGCAGCACATGAGGGACCCATCTCCATGATCTTGTTGCTAGGCTTGGTCAGAACTACCTTAGCTGGAGGGTTTTACCTATGGTGCATGTTTTGGGTTGATGGGGGAAACCAGAGTGCCTGGAGGAAACCCACCCAGACAAGAGAAGAACATGCAAACTCCTCACATAAAAGCCCTGGTGAAACTTGTAGGTCGGCTCTTGATTTCGGTCAGTTCAAACTGGTTTAGGACATGCCCTCATAGGTCACGTCACTCCTGACCCTTAACTTGTTTGTCTTGGTTTACTCCATTACTCCATTTCACCATTGCAGCTAATAAAAATGCATATTTACAGTTTTGAAAAAAGTTAAGAAATTATTAATTTAATTAATTAATTTAACATTGCGTTGGGAAATATTATGCATTGGGCAATCATTAATAATATTCCTTAATAAATTTTTAGTTTAAATACAATTTTCTAATTCAAAATAAACATACATATGATTATTATAACGATTACTATTATTATTAAAAATTCACCTCATAGTGTCCGCTTGTTACTCAGTGCATCTCTGTCTGACATTGGCTGATCCAATTTAAGGATCTGTTCTTCCAGAATTAGCTTGTTTTGACGAGCCCGCAATGCACTATGGGAGGCCAGGAGCTTAGGCCACCTGGTAAGCAACAGGGGTATAAAATGCAGCTCTTGCAGTTGGTCTTAGTAACTTTATAGACTTGACAGCTACTTGAATTTGTGTTTTTAAGTCATTTTTAGTTGGGACTATTGGCTGCAAACATGGTTCTGGAGGATTCTGATGTGGAGATGATTGTGGCAGAAATTGAAGTGGCTGTGAGTAACTTTGCAAAGTGGTTAATAGTTGAAAACCTGCTTGATGATGATGTTTTGTGGGATGAGAAATAAAATGTGTTAATCAAACCAAGTAATGTAATGTAGTTTTTTGCCTTTTTGTTGGCTTTTATATTGTTTTCTTTGTTTTAATTGCAATGTTTGCATTTCAAAGTTCAAACTGTAAGAATTCTTATTAACAGTATATTCAGTTTTAACTTTTTAAAATGATTGTGAATAAAAATATAAAATTGTGTTTTCTAACAGGAGCATGATGTGGAGACTCCACATGGAAGGGTTCACTGTACAATGAAAGGGGTTCCCAAGGGCGACAGGCCAATTATTCTCACCTATCATGACATTGGACTCAACCGTAAGTGAAGCTTCTTATACCACAGTTTTCACTAAATGTAAATTAAGTAAATTGAGGTCTTGCTCACTGAATTCACACAAGTAATCTCCTCTGGCTGAAATGTTCAATATGTAAACAAGGGCTAGGACAGATTTTGACTTGCAAAACCTGAAACATGAGAAGGGAGGGAAAAAACCTTTATTCACACTCTTAATCTGCATAGTGAGTATCTATTTTTTATTCATGAACAATTCTGTTTTTCACAGACAAAACCTGCTGGGACACACTTTTTAACCATGAGGACATGTCGGAGATTATGCAGCATTTTGCCGTGTGTCACGTGGATGGTCCCGGGCAACATGAAGGAGCAAACACCTTTTCCACTGGGTGAGCCAGACGTGCACAAACACACAAACTAATGTGTGTCAGGTAGTCCCTGGCCTTTGACTTAAAGCTAAAAGATCACAGCGGATATACTTAAGGCGACCTAATTTATCAAGGGCACTTGAGGTGTTTGTCCTGTTCACTCTAATCTCTCCATTGCTTCATGTCACTGAGTTCCACTTGCAATGATAGTGACAATGTTTACTGTCATCCAGTAACTTATTGAAATTACCAACAGATATGAATACCCCTCAATGGACCAGCTGGCAGAGACCCTCCCCCTGGTGCTCAAGCATTTTGGGTAACTTGACTTTTCAGTGTCCACTTGTTCTTTTCACTCTTAAAGATATCTTCTAATCCGTTTTCTAACAGTACCCCTGTCTGTCTGTGTGCTCTAGGCTCAAGAGTGTCATCGGAATGGGCATTGGAGCAGGGGCTTACATTTTAACTCGATTTGCTGTAAGTTGCCCCCCACTTCACACTTTAGCCAAACTTCATAATTCGCCTTTGGGTTTAATCAGTATGAGATTAGCACAGGCAGCTAATGCATCACTCTTTCTGTGGATTTTGGCAAAGTCCTATTGCTTTTGCCTGCTGAGCCATTAAAAGCCTGAGGAATGTCCCAATGCAAGACCAACATTGTGATCTGTAGGGAGTCTGCCTTTGTTGATGAAGCAAAGAGAGATACTATATTTAACTATTAAAAGTGAAATGTAACCAATTACCAAAAAAAAATCAAATCTTCATTCAAAACTATGGTGTTTTTTGTTTTGTTTTTTAGCTTGACTATCCAAATATGGTGGAGGGTTTGGTGCTTATCAACATCAACCCATGTGCTGAGGGTTGGATGGACTGGGCTGCCCACAAGGTTTGTCAACTGGAAAAGTGTAAATTATCTTTAAATCAAATAAATATTTAGCATGTATCTAATGTGTGTAACTACATTTAGATCAGTGGCTGGACTCATGCCGAGCCTGACATGATCATCACCCATCTCTTTGGAAAGGTACGCACATTTGTACAGCCCTGTGTAATGTATTTGTACATGCTTAAATATATTCCCAGTGTTTTGGTCAGAAGCACTGATAATAAATAATTCTCACGGTAGGAGGAGATCCATCACAACCAGGACCTGATTGCTACATACCGCCACCATATTATAAATGACATGAACCAGTTTAACCTACATCTTTTCGTCAAGTCATATGAAAAGTGAGTCGCATACAACAAATTTGACTGTAAAAATGGCTCTATTTGTTAACACAATATGTTTACAGTCGTAGAGATCTGGAAATTGAGAGACCTGTCCCTGGAACCAATGTTAGAACTCTCAAGTAAGTTGTTACTGAAGTAGAGGAGTAACTGGCCTTTGCTGATGCATAATTTACATGAAGAGTAATGTTGATTGTTTTCTCAGATGCCCTTCTCTTCTGGTGGTTGGTGATAACTCTCCTGCTGTTGAAGCTGTTGTAAGTAAAAATTAAACACTTTTATTGAGAATCTTTTTCACTGTAAGCTTTCAAGAATAAGGAAACAAACCATTATTTCAAGCCTCTCCAATTAAATTTACCTAATTAGGTTAAATTGTTGCGTAACTTCTTTCCAATGCCACAAATAATTAGAAGCCCAATTCGCATAATTCCATTACATCTGTTACTTGTTGTTATTGTTATTAGAATTAAGATTATTGTTATTGTTGTTCTAGTTGTTATTGTATATTTTTCAATAGCATTTTATTAACTACAGGTTGAGTGCAACACCAAGCTGGACCCTACCAAGACTACCTTGCTTAAGGTGAGCCCCCTTCACTCCTATTTGTCTTATATCCTTATTCAGATAAAAACAGCCTTGATGGAAAGACATGTACTGATAAGTTTCCAGTGGCTCAGCATTTACCTGGTCACTAATTAACCATAGATAGGAGCGCTTATGTGTCCTCAGGGGCAGTGTGTGTATGCATGTTGTTACTCAGGACACGATCTGTTGCAAGTGACCTACTTGTGTTACCCTATGGCTGCTTTTTATGATGCACATCTCCGACCAAATAACAGTTTGTGCTTGGCGGGCATGCTTTATTGGGGTTAACAGTCCATGTTGTAGATGAACACTGATTAGAGCTAAGTGGAGCAAGGTGTTCAGTATGTTCAGGGAAACCTGTAGAGGGTAATGGATGGTAATGATGTGTGTCTGCTGTTGCATAAATGTAAAACTGGACCCATCCAAATAACCACAATTTTCTCTTTTAACACAGATGTCCGACTGTGGAGGCATGCCCCAGGTTGATCAGGTGTGTATGAACAAATTACTAGCTAGACCTGCATAATCACCAAAGGGGTGGATAGTGTGAAGAGGCTGCATATAAGAGCATTAACAAGTAGTTGTAATCCTCTGTTCTGCACTGCACACCTGTTCATGGCAGCTGTCATATTAGAAAGCTGAGCAATAAGCATTTGATGAGACAGTGGAACCGTCAGTGTTGAGTAAACACAGGGTTTGATGTCAGTCAAGCTAATAATTGTTTCTATTTTGTTGCAGCCTGGCAAACTGACTGAAGCATTCAAGTACTTTATCCAAGGCATGGGATACAGTAAGTATTGTAATTACTAAAGAGTGGAAAAGCTTGATGAATAGGACACACATTTTATTTTGCCCCCTTGTGGTTAGACGATGCATACAACAAAGTGATACAATTTTATGAGTAACTCTTATAATCACTACACTTCAACTTGAAGGTCATGCTAGGCAAGATATTAAAACATCTGTATGTATCAAGCTGCTTTGTACAAGTCCGTATAACTAAGGTTGCTTTCATTGTTGAATGGTGACTTAAAAACATTCTGGATATTTTATATCATAACTGATTTATTTATTGCATGAGAAGTCTTTCAACCTGGTTTTGTGAGACCAAATATGTTTCCTCTCCCTACAGTGCCCTCTGCCAGTATGACCCGTCTGGTCCGCTCCCGCACTGCGTCAGGCTCAAGTGTTGCCTCTATGGAAGGAAACCGGTCCCGATCTCACACACACGATGGTAATCGCTCGCGTTCTCACACCAACGAGGGCCGCAGTCGCAGTCATACGGCCGAGAGGGGGCGCTCTCACACAGATGGTACCACAGACGGCGTGGACCAATCTGCGCCCAAGTCTACCGAAGTGTCCTGCTAAACCATACGCTCACCAGATGAGTTCAGAAACCTCTCCAAAGTTCCCAAAGTTGGTGCTGCGATGCCCCTAACTGCACGTCGTGATTCACAATAACAAACAAGAACTGGAATTTCAGAGAATTTAGTCCTGTTAATACGCACAACTATACTCCATCTAAAGTGAACATGTTTTTTGCATTGCCAGTTTCCTGAGGAGGGACGTTTTTGGCAAAACAAGTTTTAAATCACTAATTCTTGAGACCAGTGCAGTTAGAGGCAACTTTGCATGTGGGGACACAGAACTGAAACAGTGAATGTCAGAGAAAGCTGTGGCTAGAGTTCTAATATTCATTTGACAAACATGATATGTTTAAATGGCACAGCTTTCTCAGCTATACCTGACTGTAAATGTCCAGTTTTCTGTCGACCTATTGATTACCCAATATTTTACTTTTATGTCTAAGGTTAAATTGTTTGTATGTAGGTGCAGATTTTTAGATATGGAGACTGAATTGGAGGCATTTGGATTAATACTAAAGATGTATCTTTTGAAGGGATATAACTAATATCTTGTGTATAAAGCAAGTAATGTTTCATCCTGCACCTGTTATTTTAATGCATCCCGTACCTGATGATTTTTAATGATTTCAAAAATTACAGATTTTTAGAGAAAACATTTGCATTATACATTGTTATGTTGGTGATTCTGATTCAGACATTCCTCACTTTTATGGTGATCTCTATGCAAATAAGCACAAAGGAACAAAGATGTGCCATGATATGTTGACTTTTAGGCAAGTTGCTCTGATCTGGTTGTGGATTTCTGGGTGAGGGAATTGATATGTCCACATGTTATACTCCCACATGTATTACTTGCACTAAAGCAACATTTGCTTTGTAGAAAACAACAAAACAGCTTTGTAAAGATGCAATATTCATCTGCCTAATGCTGTAGAAATGCATTACAATGACGCAAGTTTGTATTTATTAAAAAATACAATAAAAACGTATAACATGTTTCCTGGTTGTGTGATTTATTACTGAAATAGTTGGTGCATTAATTTAACATTAGAAACTGACACCATGTAATCTAAACATACAAGGGTCTATTCTTGACATATTTTATCAAAAGGCGATATAAATTAATAAAATATAATGCAATATAATTTAATGTTTTATCTTTATATTTTTACTGTACTGCATATTAAATACAAGTACAATTCTCGCCATGCTTAAGTAATTCACTCTAAATACATGAACACATTTCTTATTTACAGATTTTCCAATAGGAAAAAAATGTTACAAGATAATCATGCAAGTGACACCTTTTAGTCCATGACTTCTGGGTAGCTGTAGTAGCTCTCAAGGTCTTGGAAGATGTCATTTGGGTTTTTGCAACTGAGGTTACAAAAACAAGCCTGAACCCACAACATTTTCCAGCTGAAGTCAGTCCCATTGGGACATTCAAACTCCACATCAATGGTCTTGGACTTATACGGAATGCAGCAGCGCTCATCTGTGCAAACCCCACAATACTTAGGCCTGTACTGCTTCTTACTGGTGCACCCCGAGATAGTGAAGTTGAAGGGCTGCTCATCCCTGTAGATGTTCAGACACTTTTTACCTGGCTGAGATGCAGATTGCCTGATATTAATGATACATAACTTCAAAATAATCACATGAATAATATCTAGTATTTGGTACCTTGATGTGTTTGGTGATGTCCACCTCACAGGGGCGCAGGTTGCACAGCCGGGATTCTTTCACCAACTCACACTGGTCATTATCATTTGAAATCCTCAAGGAAACACCACGCCCACATGTCTTAGAACAGGGGCTCCAGGAGGTAGTTTGGGTGATGCAGTTTTTGTGCCAGCTTTGGGTCCCAACTGGTAGAGCTGTAAGCATTTTATTGTATTTTATTGATTGTATTGAGCAATTATTTTGGGATATGTTAATTGTCCATTTGGTTTTCAATTTTGATTGCCAGTAGGAAAGCAACAGCAGGGATCTGATCCAAAAAAAGCATGAAGGCTGTTTGACAGGAAAAGATAAGCCCGTCCTGTGCTGTGAACTGACACAATTAGTGAGGACTTTGGAACTGCAACCCAACTCACTGAACTCACTCATATAATTTTAATTCCTCTCAAGGGAAGTTCATAAATCTGACCATAGGACATACCAACATATATGGAGCTTACCATCTATAGCATGTCTTGGAGCCGTTTTGCGCCCTCTCTTGGGTTCATCGCAAATCCACTGCTCACAGCACTGTCCCCGAATTTTGACCCGTCTGGGACTCTGGCACCAAACCCGTGGAGGTTGGGACTCTGTGCACAGGGACACGCAGCCAATTGCTCCATTCACACACACACACTGGTATTTACAACTGGGCTTGAAGCTCTGTCCGTTACGATAGATCACACCATCATGCTCACAGCCTGTTCCCACCATATCTAACAGAAATAAGGGAGCAAAGGGTAGACTTAGAAGAGAAACACAGCATTCAGCATGCATAAATTGTACGTAAACAAATTTGTGGTTACAATAAAATTTACTAGAAAATATTGGGATAATCAACATTTTTCTAATTGTCTACCCTGGCATTTTTCAAGTGGTTATGCCTGGACAAATTTCTTGAATAAAAGGCAGTTGCAATTGAAGAACAAAATAAACATATTGGTACATCAGTCACTTAGCCTAAAACAAGCATCTTAAGTAAAATTCAGTAAATAATGTTGATATGTATGCATATTTGTTGTTTAACTGTGAGAGACACTTACATGCACACACTCCCTTTTCGTACCTAGGCTTGTCTCTGCTGTAGTCACAGTACAGCCCCTTGTGATAGTCGCAGGTGTCAGCCTCGTTGCACGTTTCCCCCACCTGTCTGGCACAGGCCTTGCAGCAGTCACAGCCGTCCATCAGCAGACTGACCCCGGGCGGACAGCGCGGAGTCTCAAGAGGACACTGGCAGGGCCACTTACAGTACTGTGTGCGGTTAAAGGAGTCTACAGCAGCAGTGGTTGGTGGCATGGCAGTGGATTTCTGTGTGTAGACCTGCAGGTGGCAAGCATTTTATTACTGTAGCCTATTTTGTCATAAATTATTAAAATAAATCATAACACAATATATTAATCCAGGCACAAAGGGACTAAAAGCCATTAAATAAAGCAGAGATAAAATACTTAAACAACACCTTTTGAAATAGCCTAGGTGTACTTTTATAGGTAATAGCATTCCTTTTAAATAAAATATGATCAATGCAGCCCTTTTATTTCTGACACAGTTTTGATAACAGGGATCCCAGGTTACTTGACAAAGACATTGTATACACAAGCTGTCCATCAATCTCACCAAGCACAAAGGATGGTAACAACAGCAGCTAATGGAACTCCCATGTTTTTGTTCCATTTCCACTGCGGTGTCAAATAGCACTAATGCTACAAACTACTGTTCTTTTGAACATGCCACAGATGCTATTACAGCTGGGATCACATGGCATTCTGAAACATAAACAAAGGAGTATTCGGCTCCTCAAAATATACAATAGATGCAAATGTCTTTGAATGCGAGCAATTTTGACAAAAAAATTATCATTCCAATCGCAAGCACAACATTACAGAAACTGTCCTACTGGCAGACAGATTACATGTTTTGGAAAATAATATACATTTTGAAATACGGTGCACTTACCAAATGCACCGCATGGTGGGAGGATTGCACTGCAAAATGTGATAAAAGGTTTAGCAGAAAGTTATTATGTAAGCTCAATGCCTAAAGCCAGGACCATTGAGGATAACCATTGTGACAGTAACAGTTATGACGCAGCCACTCCAATAATGAAAATATGTCTGCAGGCAGGGCACGCGACACTTCAGCCAAAAAAGTTGCTGATTACACGTAATTACGCAGGCCAATTAAAATTAAAATTTACTCCAGCTCATCAGTTGCCTCATCAGCCAGTCCCTGCCTTCTAAATTCATCAGTGCATTGTGCAAAAGTTAACTGACATGTGTAATGGGCCTATAGTCCTATTATAGGCTAATTAAATTCAATTACCATTAAACAAGATACTCATAATAATTTTGCTTAGTTTGTAGGCTTGATTATTCTCATAAAACAATCAAGAGACGATCTCTACTTACCTGTTGAATCACAGCAACTGTTAGGGTCCACCACAGGAGCCAACTCATCACTGGTGAGGAGGTGCAAATGCATTGAGTCCAGAATAAAGTCCAACGTGTTTGTCCCAATAACCGCGCGTCCCGCCGCTTTTACGCAGGTGTACTACATCCTCGTCCTCCCGCGTGTGCCCCTCTGAGTGATCCAGCGGCCCGCTTTAGCTTGCGCACGGACTGACGTAAAGTCTGAAAAGGACGAGCTTCGCATATTTCTTCCAACACTCAAGGGATGGCTTTATACGTTTTTTCTTCTCTCCTTTTGCTGCACTGATAGTTAGAGTAGGGCGTGTCTGGAAATCCAAAAACTGTCCACAAGCCTCTTAGAGGTTATGTCACTTAGACCTGCATGGAAAGTTTTTAAACACATGATGTAAGGTCTATGGATGTATCATCTGAATTTACTTTACTTTGTCCAGGAAATGTTGTGCTTAAAGGGGCAAAAACATGCTTTTCAAATGTCACATACTTGGTCCTCACCAATTCACTTTATTCACTGTATTGGTAGCCTACAGACAAGATGTGCATCCTAGCCCTTACCAGAGCTATTCACTTAACGTAACGTCTGCTACTTGTCTTTCTTTTAATTTTCCCGGAAAAAAAATGCTTTGAAATGAGACCCACCCCTTCCAAAAGAATTCCTCTTAATTCCATCCCATGGAAAAATGGAAAAACAGAGCTTTGAGTGACTCTCTTCTCACAGGTTCACAAATATGACTGAAAAAAGGACAGAGGAGACGTTCTGAGCCATATTATTTACAGTGGCCCTTTAATCCGAGTCACAGAGCTGTCAACGTCAACAGGAGATCTGAGCTTTTCCCTGCAGTGACACTGGGATGACCCAACCCAATGCGCCCACTCAGTTCCTGTTTAGTACACCTAAAATATATACTAGAATAGAATAATGAGTTGTACTTTTGAAGCTTGTAATTGTCACCTTTGGATTTTCACTTTAACTTTGCAGGCAGTGAGAAGTGTTTCTGCACAGAATGATCTTGTTTGTAATCCACCAATGTAACAATAACACCATATGATTCTTAGTTCTTCTCAATCATAACACACAAAGAGAGTGGAATAGTAATTGGTAACATATTACAACCCTGAAAGCCATTACATCAATGATCTCTTTGCAAGACAAAAGTTTTCTATGCAAATCTTACTTTTACACAGTTTATGTGGCACCAATAAAAAGGGAGACATTCTCTAAATAACAGGGATGAGAGAAATTGGCCTAAATGGCTGTGCAGGACAACCAAAAGAGGCACAGGTGCTGATCAACACAGACATTTCTAAATAAGGCTGTCATTTTAGAAGCTAAGTCTAAATTTAAAAATAAAACAAAGGTATTTTGGTATGTGAAAAAATTAAGACACATAAATTTGAATGGCCATTATTTAAGATTTTGTCTAATTTCATTTTAATCTCTCATATCTCTCCAGACATTTCTGCCAACAGAAACAGACCACACATGGGATTATTCATGCTACATCTGTCTGCATCTGTCTTCTATTGTGCTTTGATATGTGAAAGGTAGTCTGTGCTGCACAGCTTTAATATTGGTCATACATTCATATTACCTTTGATGGATATGTCTGCTGTAATAGAAGCCAGCTCTGCAGCACCACAAGTGCTTTTCACATGGACTGGCTATAGTTTGTCAGCTGACTCTAAACCAGGGTGTTAAATGATTCAGATTGGAGACAAAAGGAAAAGGATTAGTCAGCCAATCACTGGATTCTAAAATTCCACTTGGAGAGGTGTTTTTGTACTTAAAAAGCCTCAAAGATATGTGATGTCACTAGTAACATGTAGAGTGTTTGTTGTGTCACCTAAAAC